TTAGCTACTTTCTCAACAAATATCGGTTACCAATTATGTTATGTTTCGAAGAAATTTTACGGTTCTTAAAAAATACTTGAAAGTACCAAGATTTTACACTAAAAAATTTGATACCCCAAAGTACCTAGCAGGCTAGCACTTGGAAGTACTGAATTTTATAATAAAAAATAAGGTACCTTATGATATTTTCTTAAGAACGGTAAAATTACCGTAAGTTTGGGTCTTTGTAATCCACTCACATGATGATGTACTAGCATTTGCATCTCCATCTTTTCCATTATGAATTGGGAAAGTTAGGAAGGAAATATAATAAACAGTATAGAAATGTATATTTTCGGTCTCTAATGCAAGTATATATCGTCTTTTTTAAAAAAGTAAGTATATATCTAGAAATACTATGTTTTATAGTGAAATATAACTATTTTGCATAAAAATGAGGTTTTATGAAACAGTTTGCCCCAGAATCCAGGATTACTTAAAAAAAATTGTAGATCTGACACGGGTGCGCTAATTATTCTTTTAGTGATAGGCATCGTACCCGTCAACAGAAATACGCTCGTGATGACTTTGTCAATCTCAAGATATATCGGCCCAGTCTTTCGGAGGTGCTCATAGAGATAGGGTGTGTGTGCATATTCATAGAGATAAGTGTGCGCATATAGTGAGCGCCTACGTTTGTACTATGTTTCCCATTTTTTTCTATTTTTGTAAAACCAGGGTGGGGGTGAGGAGGGTTATGATATAGATATTGTAGAAATGGCAATAAAATATCAAATAAATCATTTTTCAAGTTTGTCATAATTAGAACTTAAATAACCATGGGTTAATAGTTTTTTTTGCGCTAAATTCATCTTTGTATCCAAAACATGTAATTTTGTGAAATTTACTCTTTCTTTCTAAATTCCATGTCTGAGATTTTGAAGAAAAAATACACTCAAAATCTTCTCTCCTGTTCAAAGATACACCAGAAACGAAGTGCATGGTGTCAAATTGTCAATTATGCCTGACCTGAGGAAGTGAGGAGTGAGGTGTTCACGTATTGTAGAAGAATGAAGACTTGAGGTGTTTCTTCTCTGCCACAATCAGTGGAGACTGGAGAGGTTCACGTGGGCAGTCTATCACGCTTTTGATGACTTGGACCATTTATAACGTCTTCCACCCGCTGTTAGTTGTTAGGAATGAAGAAGATATTGATGTATGGCGAACTAAGCTACACTTTGGTCATGGCTCTTTGTGCGGGGAACTTATCCACTCGATTCTCTTGTATCTAACACCGAACGTTCGCATTTTTCTGTGATTTAATTTCAGGAGATAGTACATGCCTACATGGGTACGGGTGTACATTTAGTGGTAAAGCATGGATAATGTGGGAAAAAAAAGTGGTGCAAACAGTAAAAACCTGAAAATTACGGTTGGATCGAAAAATAGATGTCGATTTATATACCTAACAAAGAGTAAAAAAATTTGAAACAGATACAATGGCAGCCCTTTAAGAAAGGGCAAATTACAATGGCAGGTTTACATGACAACCCCTTGAGAAAAGGCAAATTACACATAGGTCTAGATCTAAACATAAAAGACCAAACAAAAGATGAAAAGAAAAAAAACGGCGAAGTCCTTCAAGCTCTGGCCACAACAACAAGGCACAATACACTAACTAATTATCTAGTTACTGGCTGATATACTAACTAACATAACATAGTATAAATTAAGTTAGGATCGAATAATTTACCCGGGATACTATGACCCCAGGTAGTACTATATAGAAACTAGAAAGGTAGCCCGCGCACATGCGCGGGCATTTTCTTATATAAGTGAGTATAATTTTATTATGAATATTTATGTGCGGATGACTTTTTATTAAAATATTTTTTATTATATTCAAAACTAAAATTAAACTTATCTTGTGTGCTTTGAACGTTGGTTATTTTCTTATAATTACCCTTGCAACATATAAATTCTAAAATAAAATTACATGAGATCATGCGGTTTTGAATTGATGAGAAAATATTTTGTTGAAACAATGGAGATGGTTCCTATAAGAAAATTTAGGATATTTTACTCCGCGGAAAGATATCTTACAACAAAAAGAAATCCAATAATATCAATTCTTTGATTGATTGTATTTTAATTTTTTATGTATCTTTTCATTCTAACAATGCTCGTAAAATGTTTGAATTTTTCTATTCAGAATGGGTTTTAAATCCAGCAACATTCGTTCAATTTTTATTTTATTTTTTTTTCTTGGAGATTTTCTTTCTATGGATCATCCTTAAAAAGATTTGATCTTTGCAATTTGGAATGAAAATATAAGTGCATATAACATGGCATGGGTAAAGGCATACGTTCTAAATTTATCTCTCAAGAAATATTGAAGTAATGGTCATAGTGTGTTTAACGAATCATCACTAAAGTGGAGGGTCTTTGTAACAAATACACATTTCTAGATTGTTCTACCTCAAGACTTTACAATATATTGCAGCAAGTTTTACCAATAATGAAAAAAAAATGGACATGGTCTTTAATTCCTATATGGAATTGACTTGATTTATTGCTAAGGCCATCTCAAGGTTGTTCATTGTTAAGATTCCTAGGTGCAAACCCTTATGCTTATCAGTATGATGTTCAACCGGCCACACCTATTTTTCAACCTATTATCTATATTGCTAGATGAATACTTGTTATAATTAGTGACTTCATAAATCATATGTGTAATTGGGATGCTATGATCATCTTTCTTATGAATATTTATTTATCTCTTAAAAAGATCATTTTAAAAGTATCAAGGTCAATTTGTATAGGTACATAGCCCTCATATGCATGTTAAGATAAATTAATTAAGTTGGTAGAAAGTCGTTAGATGTCTAACGGGATATAAGTAATAGATGGAGGTCCTTTTTTTTTTTTGCCCATATAGATAATTTTAACTTCCGTTGATTAGGAGATAAAAAAAATAGAGAGAAAAGAATGGGGCACGCGGTAAATGGGCAGGAGGGAGGGAGGTTTGGGACTTTTTTTCTAAATGATTAATCTAACAACTTAGTTGAATGTTTTGTTTTCTTGTCAAAATTTTTAGGATTTTCTCTGATTTAAGATAACAACGTAATATCTCAAGAGTGTATTTTCTTCGATTTAAGAGAACGATATAATATCTTTGGAGTATTTATAAGATGTGTAATGGACTTTTAATACCGTATGCCGCAAAGAAGGAGGGAGAGAAAGAGGTTTGGGGTGTTCTTTAAAAAAGTTATAGATCTAATGACCTAAAATAATATGTTAATCGATTGAAAATTATGTGTCCATCGATTTATGTCAAATTCGATGGTTGGATTTTTTTCCCCCGAAATTTCTAAGATTTTTCTCTAATTTAAGATTTTCATATAGCAGCTTAGAAGCGTTTATAAGATATTTAATGGATTTTAACGTTGCACGGGTGTGGGGAGGGACATAGAGAAGTTTGGGTTTTTCTTATTACAAAAACCTGACAAATCGATAGCTAGATGCTTTGTTTCTTTTTAAAGATTTTCTCGTATTTTCTCTAATTTAATAGCACCTCGTAGCATTTTAGAAGCGATCATAGGATCTTTAGTGTGACAGAGCGAGAGCGGTTAGACCTAGCAGAGGAAGATCTATTTTGTGGTATTTTTAATGTAAAAATAATTTTGATTTTAATTTCTCATGAAGATAGCTTGTTCATACGTACGTGATGGGGAAGTTCTGGATGTGTGCGTGTTTTTTTATAAAAAGCTAACCTTCTAAAATAAAATAAAAGATACACCGATTTAAATGAAAATCGATGATCGGATTAGAGTATGACTTGGCGACATAGAAGCATTTGTAAGGTGTCACTTAGCGACTTAGGATCGGAGTATCTGTACGATGTTTAATGGACTTTTAATATATAATAGTTATTTTTCTAAATTTTTTAAGATTTTCTTTAATTTAAGACTGTCATAGAGGCGTTTAAAAAATATTTAATGGACTTTAACACCACACGGGGGTAGGGAGGGAGGGAGAGAGATTTGGGATTTTTTTATTAAAAATTAACCACCTAAATGTAATCATCAATTTAAGTAGAAATCGATGGTTGGTTGTTATGTATTTTTAAGAATTTTTAGTACTTTCTCTAATTTATTTGCACCACGTAGCGACTTAGGATAGTTCGTAGGATGTTTAAATCTGTGACGGAGGGAGAGCTGCTAGACATAGCAATTGATCTATTTGTGATTTTTTTGCATGTAAAAATAATTTTAATTTTAATTTCTCATGAAATAGAAAGTAACATAGGAAGGAAAAGAAGGGAAGTACGTACAGTACCTACGTTCATATAGTACGTACTTTTATTCGTTAGTATATATGACGCCTCTATTGATTTTATTTTTTTGGTTTGTACGTCGTTGGTTTCGGATGTGATTTTTGCTTTTACCGAATAGATCTAACCATCCAAAACAATAGGTCCACCAATTTAAATAAAAATAAATGGTTAAATTTCTCTTATTTATTAGGGTGCCACTTGACGGTTTGAGAGCGTTTATAGAAAGTTTAATGGACTTTTAGTATATAATAGATGCTTCTAATTGTAACTATACTGTACCTATGATATAACTTATATAAAACTTATATTCAATTATGGTTTGGTTGGTTAGCACTGGAATCTTTACGTGTGACATGTGTAAAAGTTTTTTCTAGCAATTTTTTTTCATGCACAAATCTTAAGGTGATCCAATAATCACAAATTTGAAAGTTTTTGGACTAAAAAAACTTACATAAGTTTTCTAGCAATTCCGTAAAAGTTTCCCCCGTTTTATAGAGGGCATAAACCCGTCGGCCCCATTATATGTGCCATTTGTACGTTTCTATTTTCTCAGTAATCAGACCATTAAGCCGAGACCGACCGCCAGAACATCCCTAGTTTCCGCGCCAAACTTGTGGAATTTCTGTGAGAAATTTGCGCATGGAAGCACCGGAATTCCACGTTATCCAGACTATAAATATCTGCATCGATCGATCAGTCACCACAACCACGCACTCCACTACAGGCTAACACAATGGCAGCTCCCGCCATCCTCCGCCTCCTCCCTCTTCTCCTCCTCGCCGCCGCCGCGAACGCCGCCACGTTCACCATCACCAACAAGTGCCAGATCACCGTGTGGGCGGCAGCCGTGCCGTCCGGCGGCGGGCAGCAGCTGGACCCGGGGCAGCAGTGGGTGATCGACGTGCCGGCCGGCACGACGGGCGGGCGCGTGTGGGCGCGCACGGGCTGCAGCTTCGACGGCAGCGGCAACGGGCGGTGCCAGACGGGCGACTGCGGCGGCGTGCTGCGGTGCGCGGCGTACGGGCAGCCGCCCAACACGCTGGCGGAGTTCGCGCTGAACCAGTTCAGCAACCTCGACTTCTTCGACATCTCCCTCATCGACGGATTCAACGTGCCCATGGACTTCCTCCCCGCCGGCGACGGCGCCGGGTGCGCCAAGGGCGGGCCGCGGTGCGAGGCGGACGTGGCGGGGCAGTGCCCGAGCGAGCTGAGGGCGCCCGGCGGGTGCAACAACGCGTGCACGGTGTTCAAGCAGGACCAGTACTGCTGCACCGGCTCGGCGGCGAACAACTGCGGCCCGACCAACTACTCGCAGTTCTTCAAGGGGCTCTGCCCGGACGCCTACAGCTACCCCAAGGACGACCAGACGAGCACCTTCACTTGCCCGGCCGGCACCAACTACCAGGTCGTCTTCTGCCCATGAGGGACGATGACTTGTTAGCTGGCATCTGATCGATGTGATCTTGGTTAGATGTATACACAATAAACAAGCATGCATACTTTTTATGCGAGTTTGTATCAGAATCATGAAGAGAAAAGTTACTCTGTAATAAAGTAAACCATTCAAAACTGAAGTGGTTTTTCACTTGTAGTTTGGTTAATTACACAGGCATGAACGAATCCGTTCAAATTCTATTATTTTTTCCAGGGGGGTTTGACGGGTAGTTTAGCACTTTAGCATCACTACGATGTACAAGTGAGAACTGAACAACGTTTTTTGTATGCGTGGATGACACGTTCTCTATTCGTTCCAAACCTTATGAACCGTGCTTGTGAACTGTGATCGAGGATTTTTGAACCCAGAATGTGATCGACGATTCATCGACCTAGCTCCTTTCTTATCCTGGGTTGAACGGTCTTTGTTCTTGGCAGAGCTCTGTATTTTATATCTTCAGGATAATAGCGATGGATAATATATAGAGTAAAATTTGTCCCTACCATATTTTTGGATTTTGTATCATCCAAGTCAAGATCAATTGACAATTCAGATATAAATTAAGATAGTACAACTTTATATTATCACGCAAAATCTTGGCACGATATTTGACCAAATCATTCACATCCATTTCTAGACGATTCTGCCAAATTAATACAACCAGCTGGACTCCTATCAAACCATCAGCTGGTTTCCCCACCAAACTCTCTTGGGATTTCGTAACGAAATTCGCACACGCAAAGCTGCAAAAGTTGAATTCCATTATTCCACATTATCCATTAGCCGGACCGCTATAAAAATCCACACCCCTAGCTTGCATTCTTGCTCAGCTCAATTTGAGCAACAGAAACACTAACACGTCACCAATAATGGCGTCCCTCGCCAACTCTTCTGTCCACCTCCTCCTCCTCGTCGTGGTGCTCGCCGCCGCCGCCGATGCGGTGACGTTCACCATCGTCAACAAGTGCGGGTACACCGTGTGGCCGGCGGCGCTGCCGTCGGGCGACGGCAATCAGCTCGACCCGGGGCAGAGCTGGGCCGTGTACGTGCCGGCGGGCACCAAGGGCGCGCGCGTGTGGGGGCGCACGGGCTGCGGCTTCATCTCCGGCGGCAGCCTAGGGCAGTGCCAGACGGGCGACTGCGGCGGCACGCTGCGGTGCGCGGCCGTCGGCGCGCCGCCCGTCACGGTGGCCGAGTTCTCGCTGGGCCAGGCGAGCAAGGACGACTACTTCGACATCTCGCTCGTGGATGGGTTCAACGCGCCAATGGCCATCGTGCCGGCGGCGGCGGGCGGGCGGCGGTGCCCCCGCGGCGGGCCTCGGTGCGCGGCGGAGATCACGCTGCAGTGCCCCGGCGAGCTGCGCGCCAAGGCCGGGTGCAGCAACCCGTGCAGGGGGAACAGCACGTGCGGGCCGACCAAGGACACGGAGTTCTTCAAGAAGCTGTGCCCGGAGACGGTCACCTACGCCCGGGACGGCCAAGGCACCACCTTCACCTGCCCCGCCGGCACCGACTACCAGATCGTCTTCTGCCCATGATGAGCTTGGTCTCGTACAGGGACAGTAATAACTATCTTAGTTCCTGTACTTGTATATGGTGGTAAATAAAACCTCGCACTGAGTGAATCACTTGTTTGGGATAATGAAAATAAATGGATAAATCTTGTCACTTATGATCTGTCATCACTGGTCATTGGGTCATTGGTTACATTGGCATGTGCTTGGAAAGCACCAAAGGGAAACGGAGAACTGATCGGTCTGGACAAAGTAGAGCTTTAGAGGGTTTGGCAACAGTTGGTATCGCACCGGAGCATGGGATACGGTTTACATAGCTCCATGCCTATGGAAATCAAAGGCAGATAGCGATGTGGCGCGCGCGGGGCCAACACAGCAGCTAGGCCAGACAATACAAACGGAGATCCATCTTTTGGCTTATGCACATACATATTCGAATGGTTTTTTTTTCGATAGTACATATTCGAATGGTTTAATATCAACTAAAAATAATTTATGGGTAAATCTAGATATGTATTTAGCGATTCAAAAGTAAATATTATAAAATAAACTATAGAAAACTAAAATCAATTTTAAAAAATAAAATTTAGCTTATAAGTATATAAGCGAAACGAGATGAACAAAAATTGGCTGACATAGCAGCTGGTGCGCGCGCACACCGCGACTAGTAAACTATACGTCTTTTCCACCTCGATTACGGGTTGGTACAGAAATATCAAATGAATGAGTAACACTGAAGAATTAATTATGGCTTACTGGTTCTTCAGGCGGTTATAGCATCGCGGATATATAAACGTCTAACCATTCTCGTTCAAACCCTTTTGCAGAATTTAGCGTTATTTTGCTTTCAGTGGTAGGTGACGTACCCGTCGACAGTGAGGTGTCTATGATGACTTCGTCAATCTGCAAGATTTGCCGGCCCATTCTTTGAAGATGCTCATAGGGGGTAGGGTTTGTTTACATGCATTCATAGGGGTGAGTGTGCGTGTGCTGTGAGCGTTGTATAATTCTCAAAAAGAAAAAAAGAAACAGACAGTGGTAAAAGGAAAAACATTACGCCCAAAAGAAGGATATGTTATCACCGGTGCCAGCGCGTGCGAGCTCATGACCTTTCTTTATAGCTAGGGATAAGTCTATTATGTGTTCCTTATCTCTTGTCCTCGATTGAATCGCATCTCTCAATGACAAAACCACGTATAACACCTCCCCCAATTTCTAAAACCGGTGCAAATCAACTCCTTTGGTGGTTTTGGGAAGTGGCATTGCTGACGTAGCACGTTGACTTGGTCCAAGTACGCTGATGTGGCAGCCCGGTCATCAAAGGAATTAAAAATAAAAGTGAGTCCCACATGTAAGTGAAAAAGGTAGTGCCCACTTATCATCCCTCCCCTCTCAATCTCGAACGGGCCGACGGTGAGACACACAATGCTATGACGACGATGGCCACAACCATCTTTCCCCCAAGGCCAATTGCACAAATACCGCCGGCGGTGATGATAACTTTCTGCGCCACCGCCGGTTGTCTATGTCGTGCGCCGCCACTGGCTGTCCATGACCTGCGATGTCAGGCATGTGCGGCACCCAACATAGCTGCCACCATGGAGGAGTGAGGAGTGGCGCCTCACCACGCTGTTGCCATCAACTGCTGATCTCCGCACTGCACGCATCGCGGTCGGCCGACAAACTCCTCCTCCTACGCGAAGCCACCTGACGAGCTCCTCCTACACTTGCCTCACCACGACACTGGACCGCCGCTCCAGCTCGTCCACTGACACCGAAGCACACTCCGCAGATGCCTTCCACCGCCGCAGGTCCCCCAACGCCACCTTCCAGCTCGCCGTCTCCTACCCGACCCCACCATCCACCTCCTCAAACCCCGGCCACCACTGAACGCGTCGCCCTCCACGATCTCTTCAGCTGCAACTTCTCCTCTTTCCCGAGCGTTAGCCACAGATGTGAGCTATGGATCTTGAGCTCGAGTTGCAGGGAGGCAGATGTCGGGAGACCTTGGTGAGCGAGCTGGGGTGAAGGTAGGAGTGACGGCCGAAAACGTTAGCTAAGGATCTCGAGCTCGAGTCGCGGGGAGACAGACCTCGGCAAGCTTGCAGGGGAGCGAGGGTAGGAGTGGCCGGGAGTGACTCCAGATGCGTCTACCACCGCACAACGAGGCATCGCCGCTCGCGCTACTCTGTAAAGAGGAGCCACCGCTGCAGCCACAGCTCCTCTCCCACGCGGCTGCTGGCCTAGAGATGTGGAGAGCACGAGGAAGAGAGGGAGAGATGGAGAAGGCGGCGGCTGGGGGAAGAAGATGGAAGATAGGTGGGCCCACATGGATCCCACCTCTTTTTTTACCGTGAGCGCCATACAGATGCCAAGTAGGATAAAATCCTAATCCATACGCCACGTAGGCTAAAACCAGGTTCAATACTGCCTTAGGAGTAGATTTACACCAGTTTTTGAAGGTTGAGGAAGATGTTATACCTAATTTTGTGGTTAAGGGATGTGATTCGATAAGGGCAAGAGATAAGGGAAGAAAAATAGACTTATTCATTAGTCATTACAGCTAGGAATAAGTTCACTTAGTGACCCTCAAAAGTGATCGAAATCTAATCTATGACCCTAAACCACAAAACCGGATATCTCGACCCCCCAACTCTTAAAATCGGTGCAATTTGACTCCCTCGGCGGTTTTGGATGTCGGTTTCGCTAACGTGACGCCTACATAGCAGTATTGACTCGATCTTCTTACCACGTGGCATTGGAAATAAAAAATATATGTGGGACCCATTTGTTATTCACCAAAAATATGGGTGGGACCCGCTGACAGGTGGGGCCCACAAAAATCATCCTCCCCCTCTCTTTCTATTCCCTTCGGTGAGCCGCGAGCGTGGGACGGGGGCTGGCGACGGTGGCGGGAGGGCGGGCGCGGGCCGGGTCCCCTTTGCGAGGAGTTGTTCTGCTCTCCTCCTCTTCTGAAGGCGGCGGTGAGGAGCTGGTGTCGTCGAACGCCGGGGTCTTCTCCGGCGACGACATCATCTCATGGAACGACGACGGCTCCACCTTCGTCGTCTGGCGCCCCGCCGAGTTCGCCCGCGACCTCCTCCCCCAAGTACTTCAAGCGCAATAACTTCTCCAGCTTCGTCCGCCAGCTCAACACCTACGTACGCCTCGCCGCCGTGTTTTTGTTTTCTCTTTGTCCCGTTCGATTTCGAACACCTCCACTAATTTTTGTCTCGGCCTCGCCGGAATGGATTGGATTATACAGGGATTTGGGAATATTGTCCCGGACAGGTGGGAGTTCGCCAACGACGCTTCCGGCGAGGGGAACGGCGGCTGCTCTGCGAGATACACCGATGGAAGGTGACGCCACCGACGCCAGCAACGACGACGACGGGGGCGGTCACGGTCGCGGCCACGATCCCGATGGCGTTGCCAGTGACGACGCGGGATGGTTCCCAGGTTCTGTCCGGTGAGGAGCAGATCATATCGTCCAGCTCGTCCCCCGAGCCCCTGCTCATGCTGTCGCAGACGCCATCCGGCTCCGGCTCCGGCTCCGGCGGCGTCGCGTCCAGCGGGGGATGAGAACGAGCGGCTGCGGCGAGAGAACGCGCAGCTCGCGCGGGAGCACAGCCAGATGATGGCAACAACATCCTCCTCCTCATGTCCAAGTACACCTCCACGCAGAAGCTCAACGCCGCCAACTCCTCCTCCACCGCCGGGAACAACAACTGCTTCGGCGAATCCGCCGAGGCGGCCACGCCGCTCTCGCTCCCTGCCGTCCTCGACCTCATGCCTTCCTGCCCCGGCGGTGCCGCCCGTATCAAACAACGAAGAGGAAATGATGAGCGCGAGAAGCTCTTCGGCGTCTCCATCGGCCGGAAGCGAACGCGGCACGAAGGCGGCGCCGGCGGCGAAGACGAACACGCGGCGGTGGTGAAGACGGAGCCGATGGACGGGCGGCCGCCCGCCGCCGCTCTGGCCCTCGCTGCCCGCCGCGGGAGAGAGAAAGAGGAGGGAGAAGTAATTGGAGGGAGGGGAGAGAGAAGGGATACCTGGTCCCATAATTTCTTTTCTGTGTCAATGATAAATGGGTCCTATATATATTTTTAATTCTAAATACCACCTAAACGCCATATCAACGACACGTGTAAAGGAGACCAGGTCAATACCACCACTTAAGCGCCACGTCAGCAAAACCGCTCTCCAAAACCGTCAAGGAAGTCAAATTGCACCGGTTTTAAGAGTTTGAGAGTCAAGATATCCGATTTTATGGTTTAGGGTCACGGATTAGATTTCGATAAGCTTTGAGGGTCACTTATTCCTTACAGCTATGCATGTTGGCCGTATGGGCTTGGAACTGGCTAGCTAGGACGCAACTAACCCCTCCCTAATCAGATTATACGGTCCATTTGGTAAAACGAAACAAATTACGGACCAGAAAAATATATGTCCGAATCGAATACGTTGTAACCCATATATTACGTTTAGGATTGAACACAAGAAACCAAGCCTACCAGAGAAGGGGTGAATGGTAGGGAAAACCAAAAACCCAAAAACTTTTAGCGGAAATAAAAGTTACCCTCAAATCGATGGAAATCTCGACGTAGTCCTGTCGCCGCCGGTCGGATTGCTCACATGCCGCCGGAACCCGAAGAAACACGAATTGAAGAACTCTCAAAGTAGATGACAACTTTATTGCTTCTCTCTGTGTTTACAAAGTGCAACAACAGCACTCCTTACAAAAATCTCGACTAAACTCGAAACCCTAACTAAACTATCAACTCAATTGCTCTCAAAAGCGATACCGGAAAGCCTCACGCTCCCTCTCTATTTATATCACAAAAAACCCTCTACTCAAAATAGGAGTACCACTCCTAAACACACTAGGACTCTATCCAGATTACAATCTCCTAAACCTGCAGCCCCACAACCGGACACAGCAAATTCACCAAATCAAACTCGGTCTCGCTCCTGTGGACCAACTTCCTGGCCGAGCCGAGCCGCCTGCTCTTGCCGGCCTGCACGTCCTGCTGCTGCTCCTGACCTACCTGGCAGCAGCAAGCCAACCATACCGACGCCAACACACATGCATGCAACATCATGCATGTATCGATCACATGCCTACTGCACACCAGTAAACATACATATATGCATGCTACTGTAACCCGAATCACTGTAGCACCATATATACTCCTCTCCAATTTCTTCCGATCTCCTTCGCGAACACTGACGCTTGCACGCACACCTCGTGAAGCCCGTTGCGAAGATATCTCCCACACGGTGTCCATCCACTGTGTGCCATCTCGTATTCAACTTTGTCACCCGGTATCCTTGACCGTCTGGACCTCAACTCCTCCCTGAGTTTAGTCCCGGTCCCCACCGTTGACCGAAGTTGACCTCCAAGAATCCTGACTCTAGTCACCTTCTCACATGGTATCCCGACCGCACTGGACCTATGTTCCTCTCTGAACATAGTCCCGATCCTCACCATTGACCAAGGTTGACCTCAAGTCACCTGCACACAATCAGACAAAACAACCATTCCTGGGCACAGATATCACAACCTGACCCACATTAGTCACACGCACTCACACCAACATCCACACATCTTTCCAAACCAATTCACTGATTAAATCATTTGCATAGCCAATTGTTCATCACAAATATTAATCATGACAATGATTTCACATTACGGACCATCTGGTTGGGCGTTTACGAAGCACTTCTCCACTCAGAAGACTCCGAAATCACTAATCAGTGAATAGTCACGCGTGAGGGTGTGCGAGCGATCAAGCCTAGCTTCCATTTTCGGCCCTAGCTTTTTAGCCCGGCTTTCCTTTTTTTAAGTAGGAATAAGTTCACATGATGTTCCTCAATTTATCACCGAGCTTGAATAAAATCCCTAAATCGTAAAACTGGATATAACCATCCTTCAATTTTCAAAACCGGTACAAATGTAGTCGTATGGCAGTATTTAAGGTGGTTTGAATAACATGACGCTGATGTGGCATAGGAAGAAAAAAAACCCACGTGAAATCCAGGTGTAAGTGAAACATCTTCTTTCTTATCCCCTCTGTCACTATTAGGAGGCGGCACGACGGCTCGCAGTGTTGGGATACGCGTAAAAGCTATGATTGCATAAATCAAAATTTTTCTACCGCATAAACCAGGAACCAATGCAAGTATGAGATCATGAATCATTACCACTCGACGTGTTGTGGAACGGAGGTAGGTGTTAAGAAGCCGAAGGAATGTTAGCGATGTAGCGCGCGTCGATGTAGAGGAGTAGTCAATCGCAGCAGCCCGACTTTCTCCTCCTCGTGCATTTGCCTCGCCATGCTCCTAGGCCGATCAGCACTGCAAACCAGCGGTGCCTCTACCGGTATGCACACGTCCAGAGACGAAATGCCACGCGGACGTGCTAGCACCCGCGTGCGACTAGGGTTTGGCTTGGAGAGGAGTGGCGGCTAGGGTTTCTCACGGGACACCAGTCACATCACCTGAAGAATACATAGGATCAATAATTGGGCCTCCGAGGCCCATAAGAGTCCTACTCGGATCCCATCCTAATTGAGCACCTATTGGATCTCCATCCAATCCCCTTATTCCGGCCTATTAAGTGTGTGACCCCGTAGGTTCATGTACACTCGATTGTAACCCGAAAAGAGCGGCTCCTAACAAAACAAATTGACCCACCGGACATACATAAGGTTATATCGGTTGCATCTCTAGTATACACTTGTATGAATCCTCCTGTCTCACGTTATCGATTAAGCTCAAGGCTAGATATGTGCCATTCTTTAATAGCTCAATCATTTACTTGATCTAGTGATAGATTATTTAACTTGTAATTAACTCCTCAATTACTTTTTGCATGGCCATGCACTTCCATAATCTATAACATCGAGGGGTCCAGAGATATCTCTCCATAGGAGGGGTAAATCCCATCTTGATTATTTATATCCCACTACATGTTTTATAGCATACCAAAGATTACTTTTATAATTACCCACTCACATAGTAGCGTTTGGCAGCCCTAAATAAGCTACTACATATGTTGGGAACCATGATAATCTCAGGTGTAAGGATTCTACACCAACACTAAATGAGATCGCTGATGACATATCACATATAGCTCTTGTAGTGTCTCATATTGGGTCTATCCAACATGTTCCCCAATATGTGTCCATGTTATTAATTTGGTATGCATGAGACATGATTATCGACGGGGGATACCCACGAACCGTAGTTTGAGGGTATTGGGGTACATTGGTACAAGGATCTACACGATACGACATCATGCCCACAAAAAGACAAGGATTATAGGTTCAGACCCCTCGTAAGGTAATAGCCCTAATTAGTTTATATGGGATTATAGAGAAAATCACATAGTATAATAGAGAACAACGGAACTCCGGATTACCGACGAGATCCTTGTCGAGAGAGTCTCGACGAGATATATCGGTGAATTGGCTTCAAGTCCTCCGGATTGCTTCTATGGTGGCGGGTTCGTTGAATCGTGGGGGTCGATGTCGATGACCCCCACGAAGCGATCAAGGGGTTCTTCCGTGCAATCGTCCTTTGACACACATTGAGATTGGTTTTCGTGTTGATGGATCTAGCAGCATGGAGGTCGGGTCATAGATTTGGTAGCATCAAGAAAAACCTTGCAGCCTGAAAGAGAGTGTCCTTTTGATTTATGAATTGGACACCAACTCTTAAACGGGGAAGTGCGCTGGATCTCTCGATCTCTACATGCATCGAGTTCAGCCTTCACTTGTAGCACCACCTTGCAGTTCATAAAAGAGTGATTAGACGTCTTATGGATGAAGCATAAGGTGCTGTATGTGTAGGAAACTTTCCTTGTCGGCATCTGATTCCCTGCGGGTAGCTAGGGTTCGGTCGCTTTAGGTGTTTTCCTAGGAGCTGGAGTTGTCGGCGCCCTTTTTTCTGATGAGACAGGTGGGACAGCCGGCACGGGGTCGCTTGTTGTTGTCTTGGTTGCGCCATTCTCAATCCCAACTAGCACTGGGACTGGTGACATTAGAGTCGCAACGTAGATCGGGAAGACGATGGATCCGACTTGGGTCCATACCAATGGCGTCTGGTTAGGACCTCCTGGGCCAAAGTTGGTGGAGATGTAGTTGTCGGAATTGCTCGAAGTTATCTCAGCGAAACCTTGAGCACCAAGTCCTCCTATTTGGCGCGTCACTGTTGACGGGGAATACTCGCGGACCGTATTCTGAGGGTATTGGGTTATGTTGGTATGAGGATCTACACGATACAACATCAAGCACACAAAAAGACAAGGATTATGCTAGTTCAGACCACTTATAAGGTAATAACCCTAATCCAGTTTATATGGGATTATAAAGAAAACCACAGAGTATAATAGAGAACAACATAACACCGAGATTCAAGTCCTCCGGGATCTATCAGCGAATTGGCTTCAAGTCCTCCGAATTGCTTCTATGGTGGCGGTGTTTTGCACTAAGATTTGATGCCCTATACCCCCTGAAGGGATCTCTGTATACCGCAGATCCCCTTAGTCTCCAAGTAGAACTCGGAGACAACGGACCCCGTACGGTATCGTTATCTCCTCCGAATTCAACTCTAACACCTTCTATTCACAAAGATTATTTCCTTAAGAACACATTAATTTTCTTATCCAAAAGGTCCCGTATACTTGAAGATATACAGTGTCCAACCATATATCTCATGACTCCTAGAATAGAGGGTATGCCTTATCCGTAACCCTGACAATGATCATCAATCAATACATATGTTGATCACTAAACCATATTTGCTCCACATATGATATTTCATCAGGGATCCTTTAGAAATAACAACATACAACATAAAGAGTTTCATGAATGAAACACATATTCATTAACCAATAATGAATTATTTATTTCAAAAAACAACGTATTATAAATATGTAAACATATTATGTGATACCACCAAAACGCAGAGCTCGCCGCAGCGGTCATTGGCGTCGCCAAAGAGGCCCCAGTCGAGGTCGTCAGCCTTATCCTCCTCCACCCAGCGCTGCGCCGGATATCGCTTGGGAAACTCTCTCATCCAGTGTTTCGCTGTCAAGGGGGGGTTCTCCAGCTCCGACAGATCGGCGAGGTACGCTGCGACTTCTTCAAGGTCGCCTCTCAGGAGGAGCATCCGGTCTTTCACTCTGCTGGCAGTAGCCTGCTGCCATCGGCAGCCACAAGCTGCTACATCTTCCTGAGAGGACGACGCTGTACCTTCTGGAAGAGGACACACATCGAATCAACCGATTAGAGATAAATGGAGCACAGAGAAGACTAAAGAAATACAGGGGAAATTTGGGGAAAGATGATGAATAATACCATAGATATTTCCGCATGTGAATAACAGAAAAGTGGAAACTATATGTCCTAAAATAACTGTATCCTAGAATACCGATTTCTATCCATCATTTTGCATTAAAATTGCACGGAAAAACCTTTGGACTACCTTTTTAATCTATGCAAATATTTTTAACTATCCTAGCAATTTCCTGTTACTAATTACTTCTATAAATCTAGTTCCCCCTGTTTATCGTTTTTATTTAGTTAACTGTATTGCTTAATTTGTTATCATACACCTTTAGTAGTGTATTTATAAAAAAATGCATCAATGATTGTAATGCAGTCCTTGCTACAATTTATTTTTGCATTTAAACATATGATATTATCGTCATGATGTTACTTTGTTTGATTTTCATTTAACATGTAGCTGAATTTTTCATTATAAAAAGCTTAAACTCAGTTTACTTTATTTTCTTTTGTTATTTTTTTCTATATCAAAATGCACGACAAATTCTCTTTGGAAGTCTATAATCTAGCTATAATATTAAAGTTTGGAAGCCTCTATAATCTAGATAGAATGTTTAAAGCTTGTTTTTTTTCTTGGAATTTTTTATCATATGTTCTCTCATTTATTTTAAATTTTAGTCATGCCAAGTGACCCAATCATCTTGCAACTTCCATGCCAGCTTTAGAAGGATAGATTCTATTGGAGCCTTTACTGGAGGGATGGAGTCCTCCGTTTTTTAGTCTGACAAGTGGGCCACAAGGGACCTAGATGCCTTTGGTTATGTATGGTAAGCACAGTCTTTGTGTATTATATTGTACTTGTGGAATAACAAAGTCACATCGATTGGCCTAATAAGTTCAAGTAAAAGTCACCCATATTAAAAGGAAAACTTAATGTACAAATACATATATATGTTTAAGGTAGTTCACAGCGTACGTGTTTTTTTTCTAACAACACGCACAAGAGGTACATAGTTCACAGCGTGCGTGTTAGTACATAGTAGATTACTATCGACAATAGCTCAGAACTAGTTTGCATCATCGAGTACCAAATTACTAGCTGAGTAATCGACAATAGCTCAGAACTAGTTTGCATCATCTACCATCTAGAGTACCAAATTACTAGCTGAGTGCCTCTGGTAAGGGATGCACATGCACAAAACATTAACCATGCCTGCTATGTATCCCTGTTATGTGTTTCCGCAGTTAGAAATAGGCAAATAGCTGAGAGCTCAGAATTAAAGTGACTGCTCTGCCATCTAGCTGAGAGTGGAGTGGTGAGAGCCTGGTAGTGAGGATACAGAAAACAACAGAAAAAAAAAACTTCATAATGAGTATTCAGAAGAAATTAATAACGTCAAAAAGCTGAAAAAAAAAGAGACCATTTGCTCTTGATTAATAGGATAAATGAACTGAAAATAAAGGAAAACAATATATAATGACATAATATTATAACTATTATTACCTTAGTGAAAGACTTCAATACCATCGGACAACTCTACTGTCAAAGTGACAAGTCTTCTAGAACATTTACGTACATGAAATACACCAACCTGTTAAATCAAAAGGAATGTTTGTTGTTTATGGTATGTAAGATAAGTACAAATACATCGTTTTAAGATACCCAAGTAGGAGAAGAAATTTACCTCAACATCAACTTTAGAGCCCGAGTCATTACCCTTCTCAAGGTGTCTCTCACCAACACCCAACAGTATATCTTCCAACTAAAATAAATAAAATGGTAGTCGAATTACTGTATAAACTAAAGTACTCCACACATGCACACGCTATACTTTGTGCATTTTAGGTCTTGTTTCGAAGACTAACTTAGATTTTGAAACATCCAAATAAAAAGCCTTAAGGATGACAATTGTTTGATACCTGAGTTACATTTGAAATGTTCTCTCCTTGGCATGAGAGAATAACATCACCAACTCGAATGCCATGTTTCTCAGCAGCACACTGAGAAAAAACCTAGTATGAACCCAGAAGAGTTATAATATAATATACCTGCAGAAATAGTTAGACACCATAAACAAGAAGTTTACCTCTCTTACAATAAGACCAGAGGCAATGTTGTATTTACGGGACAATAGCTCAATATGCGCCATTTCTAGAAAATCCACTGTTCTTAACTTCAAGCCAAGCTGAGGTCGAACAAGTTGCCTACATAAGATTATCGTTAGATTGTTGCATTTATTCTAGGAATATCCAAAATGGATCAATTATAGAAAACATAAGCGTACAATCGCTACATTTTCAGCAACGATCAACCATGGAGTATTAATTTATATATAAGCAAGGTTCTTCAGAAATTTAAACAAACATCTTACCCTCTTAAATGTTATGCATACGCAAATTAAGTTTGTACTCATTCGTTATTAGGCAAAATATGGCATTGTGTGGGTCTAAATATCACTTTAACTAATAAAATGGAGCGAGTATGGTCTGGTAGCGTGAGAAAATAATTACCACCCACACACACCTCAAAAGAAAAAGGAAACAGGCAAGGGTATGTAACCAATTAAGATTAACAAAATGGCGCTCACCCAAAATTTCTCCACAATCTCATACACGTAAGGATTAGAGAGCTTGGTATGAAAGCAACAATAGGTAACGTGCAGAATAACATCCCCACAATGTTTCCACTAAAATCTGCCAATGCACCTCCAGTACCACACTGCAAACAAAATTGGATTGAGATTATATATAAGTACACCTAAATATTCAGAATATAAATATATCATTACCTTAGGAATGGAACCATCTATGAACAAATAGTGATTGTGCTGATACTCATAAGGATCCACGTATTTCACTCTGACTGTAGTGCAAATCAAATCTGTTTTATTATCTCTAGCTAGCACACACAAATTCTGGCCATACTCCAAATCAGGTTTCAACGGTACAATTGGTAGAGTCAACTCTCCCATAGTTTCAAAGAAGGCAATATCGAAATGCTTGCTGAAGTACAGCAAGCGACAATCTGAGGCTGTGTCATCCGGTATGCGAACAATAACCTACAATAATAAGTACATAAAAGAGTATATGAAACACTTCATGTGAAAGACAAACCGGTTATACTATTTTGAACACTATGTTAGACCTTTTGATTTTACTAAGTACAGTTTGAACTAAAGAGAGAGATGAGGGGGGACAAGGTACAAATGTACTTAGCATTGCAAGCACGGTGACCAGAAACTAGATCCTTGATTCCAAGGTGCTACAAGGAGTAAGGGTGGGCAAAAATTAGCCGACCACTAGACAACGAACCAAATGCTTGTTCGGCTTACGTTTTTTTTCCTTGTTTTTTTTTTAAATTGTCATTGGTTTGTATCTTTACGAACCGAATACTAGACATGCTTTTGGGGGGGTTGAAAACCCTTCCCCTCTAGCACTCAAAACTGAGCGATAGATTATCAATGATTAATTAAGTATTAGCTAAAAAATTTGAAAAATAGATTAATTAATATGATTTTTTGAAGCAACTTTTCTATAGAAAATTCTTGTAAAAAATGCACCGTTTATAGCAGTTTGGAAAGTATGCGCATGGAAAACAAGCTAATAGAAGTTGGGAATAGGGAGTAAAGAACACGCCCTTAACATGCTAACAATCACAAGCATGCTAAGCTTCTGAAGTGTTTTACCTTAGCCTCAGGAGCATAATCCTTGTATGACCAATCATCGAAGGGTTTCTTTGTGCAAATAATCCAAGCAGAAGTGAGAATTATAGCAGTTTTTTTTACATCATCCCACTCAACAACAATACCAGTACATTGGTTAATCTCCGTACCATCTGGGCATACACAAAAAGTTAGCAGAAGCAACCAACATTGCCATTAGAGATGGAATTATACACGAGATGAAGAATATACACTACCGTGATAAGCTGAAAGGCTCACAACAGATTTGGAAGCATTTAGGAATATTTTCTTCTGCTTGGGGCTATAACATTCCGTAGTACAAGAGGAAGCACAAGATGATGACCTTAGTGTCGGTAATTGTTCCTGACGAGCTACAACAATGATATGGTGTATAAGAAATAGGTGAGCTTAAATTGCGTTAAATTGAATTAACTTTAATTCTTTAGTTGGTTCTACAAGCATGTTGTGGGTTATATTAAATTGAATTGGTTAGATTCATAGTTGATTTCATAAGTTTCCAATAAATAAATTGTGAAAAACTAAATTGGTTTCACTTCCTAGTTGATTTCATAGATGTAATAAAACGGATGAAAGAAAGTAAACAAACCTAGTTTCTCCTCGTACTTGCGATAGGCCCAGTGATAAGCTTGTGCAGCTACTGGATCATCAGTAATGCCATACACCACCTCACCGGAAGGAGTTCTCAAGATAGGCACGAGTGGGGCCTGCGGTTCACGAAGTGGAGAGCTATCTGCAGAGGAATCCGAGTCTTGCTGATCTTGTGCTACCTCCCACTGCTTCTCCTCTGAAGCTATGGAGGAGTCGTTGAATTGCGATTGAGGTGTTGAAAGTGGTAGATCCAATTCTGATTGTTTGGACTCAGTTGCCTGTGGATCATATGACATTGTCATGGAATCGGCTCTACGAGGGCGAGCGAACCAGTATGTCGGAGGAGCCTCCGTAACAGCGGGGAGGCTTTGCGACGGCGACGCCCGCGATGATGGAGCAGGGAGTTCCTCCCGGCTTGGCTCCTCCATGCTAGTGCCTCCACAAGCCGGCGACCCGCATGGCGCAGACGACGACGGTGGCATGGTAGACATACCTGGCTCCAGCGAAGGGGGCAACGAAGGCCTCTCCTGGTCCTCGTCGCTCGCCGCTCTTCTAGTCCTGGAATCCGGCACCTTGGATCCTGGTCCCGATCTCATCTTCGCCGGTTCGGATCTCCCGCAGATCGCAGTCGAGGGCCGACGGCCGAGGAGGAGAGATTAGACGGAGGCGGCGGTTCGGAGCGCCCGCAACCCGGCGGCTAAGCGGAAGGGAGTGCTGAAAAGCCAAAGCAAAAGGGGCGCTTTTTATTTGTAGCGTCAAACCTTGGACTTCGATTGGAATAGGTATTCCCGAATACAAGTAACATTTTTATTTATACTTAAGAAAAAAAAGTCCGTGCGTTGCAACAGGTGAATGCTATTTTAATCTTATTATTGTTATACAGTATTACGGTTTAGTTAAGGTGAAACACATTGTTGGAATTTGCTTGGATATTTTTTTTAAGAAAATCATGAGCTACAATTAGTCCGACATTCATCTCAAGTTAGCATGCGTGGTTTTTTAAAGAGATTTCTTATACGATTCCTTTTATATATTTTCAAAAGCAAACAAATTTAAAATCCGACTCAAACACGGATTGTATTTTTAAAAGCGAACAAACTTAAAATCCATCTCAAACATGTATCAGTATTTCCAAATGCAAACAAACTTAAAAACCCACTCAAACACGGATAACGTACCAAAATACCGGCAAAAACATCTTCTGATCTCTACTATTATAAAAATTGAAAATGTTTTCGTCAGTATTTTGGTACGTCATCTGTGTATGAGTCGGTTTTTAAGTTCGTTTGTTTTTTGAAATATATATCCATATTTAAGTCGGTTTTTAAGATCGGTTCTTTTTTTTAATACAGAAGGAATCTCTACTATTATAAAAATTGAAGATGTTTCCGTGGTCCGTCATCTGTGTTTGAGTCGGTTATAAAAATTAAAGATGTTCCCGCGGTTCGTCATCCATGTTTGAGTCGGTTTTGATTTTATATTTTGATTTTAATCTATATCTCTTCTCTATCTCTATCTCTACTATTATAAAAATTGAAGATGTTTTTGCCAGTATTTTGGTACGTCATCCGTATATGAATCAGTTTTTAAGTTCATTTGCTTTTGGAAATACATATTCGTATTTGAGTCGGTTTTTAAGATCATTCACTTTTGGTAATTGTCGGTGACATGGGACCGGGAGTATCATGACTAGAGGCTTGAGGCAGACACAATCGCCCACGTGGCCTGGCACCCTCGGGGGGCGTCGGGCCCGAGGGTGATGTGTTCGCCCTCCTCTTTGTCTCCCCGAGGGGGTCGGACCGCTCCCGCCTCGGCCCCGAGGGCCGAGGCGCCCCGACCCCTTGTGGGTTTTGCGCCGCGTATATGGGGTAGGTGAGCATAGCGGGGCTCACCTAACCACATTTATTGCGGTTTGGACGAGCGCGTCACGCCGCATGTAACGCAGTGCAGCGCGCTCGTTTATCCGGTCAGTGACCAGTCACAGACCGATCAGATCGTGGGTTAGGTGGCGACAGGCGGTCTGACGCACGCCTCGCCCCATCCCGTCAGGACGAGAGCCTCCAAGCACTCGTCCCTAGCCGGAGCCGGCGTGTTAGCTCCTGGGGATGGCACGTTGGTTCCGGTCAGATATATGCCAGGCTTCATCCTAACCATTATAGGCAAGATATTGTATGAAGAAGGGCGAACATGCAGATTGTTAAACTGACACGTGGTGGACAAGAATGACCGATTTGTGACCGGTCTGACAATGGTCATGTCGTCAGCAGACAGCCATGTTCCAACGTCGCGCCTGCTTCCGGCGGAAGTGGAGGTAGGTATGGGCCGTCCTATCAGAAGGTCATTCGGACGGCAGCCATACAAATCTCCGTCCATTAATGAAGAGAAGTGAAGTTGGAGGGAAGAGAGGATGAGTCCCCACACAAAAGAAAGAGAGGGAGAGATGGTGCATGTGGTATCCCCTTGAGATATAAAAGGAGGACCTTGCCCACTTAGAGAGAGGGAAAAAAACGATCCCAGAACAATCGGGGGCTGGCTCGCACTTTGTAGCTTCTTCATACACAGATCCACCAAAACACAGGAGTAGGGTATTACGCTTCTCAGCGGCCCGAACCTGTATACATCGCCCGTGTCTTGTGTGTTTCCACTCTCGCGAACTTTCCACAGACCAAGAGCTTAGAACCTCACCCAGGGCCCCCGGCCGAACCGGCAAAGGGGGGCCTGCGCGGTCTCCCGGTGAGGAGCCCCAAGCTCCGTCAGTAATACAGAAGGAATCATATAAGAAATCTGTTTTAAAAAAAACTCGCATGCTAACCTGAGACGATCGGACTCCTAACTACAGCTTATGATTTTCTAAAAACATATATGTCCAAGCGAACTCTTACAGTAAATTTCATCTTAAAAAAATCATATTATAACAATAATAAGATTAAAATAGACTTCACCCGTTGTAACGCATGAGCATTTTTCTAGTAGTATATTGAAATGTAATTATATTATAACTATATTGTACACTATAACTTGTATTAAATCGTACAAAGTAATATATAAAAAGAAAGAGTTCACCCTTTCAATCAAACATATGAAATTTCTACTGCTGATCCCGTGACGTTACCTGGTCACGCTTTCCCCGCCGCCGTGACCTCCGCCCCGCCATAACACCCGTTGCGACTTAGGGCCTTCACAGTGCGGTGAGGTGGCATTCTCTCTTGCCATCCCACATAGGCAAAGCTTAAGGGCACATGCCACCTTTGCATCTGGGCCCACCGAAATGAGGTTCTTGTGTCCAAAGAAGGCCACCGGTTCTTGGGAGAAAAAGTAGGGCGTGTGAGGATGGAAACAGCACTGTGGAGCAAGTGGCATCGGAGTGAGCGGCGCCGGCGGTCGTGGGGGACAGGCAGGGCGTGTCGCCGCCGCACCACCCGGAGCTCGGCAGCCGTTCTGAGGTCGTCCCGTACCGCCAGATCTGCATCGCCGGCCTGGGGAGGAGAGCAGCGCAGCAGCGACCACAGCAGCGGCGACGAAGCCACGGCCACGGCCATCCTCGCGCCGCACCCGGACGAGCCGTCGCCACTGGACGCCGTCGTCGAGACTCATCGCTGCCACGCTGCTGCCCGACGAGCCACGGCGCGCGAGGAAGACGCGGACGAGGCGGCGAGGGCACGCGAGAGGAGGGGAGGCCAAGAAGTTCGCCACCGTCGAGTGCCAAGCCCGCCGCCCCGCCGAGACCGCCGCCGTCGTCACCTCGTTGTGGAGCAAGTGGCATCCTTGCTGAGACCGCGGCCATCATCTCCTCCTAGCCGCCGCCGCCGCAGTAGTCCCCAGATCCACCGACGCTCCGCTCGGCCACCCCTGTGCCGTCTCCGCTCGCCGCTGCTCCGCCCGGCCCCGTCGCCATCGAGGCCGCAGCTCCGCTCAGCCGCCCTAGCACCGTCTTCGCTCGAGCGTGAGAGGTGAGATAGGGAAAGGTATGAGAGAGGGGAAGAAGCAGCGTTGGGCTCGAGGAAAGGAAGAGAGAGAGCGGAAAGGTGGAGAAAAGAAAAGGAAAACTATATTTTTGTGGACCTCACTTGAGGTACTGCATTGTGAAGCTAGTGTCTATCAATGTTCCTCAGCCCATATGGCACCTCAGGTCCGGTATTTTACGTGACGCACTGCTATTGCCCTTAACCAGATGACACCTCCGCTATGACCCTATCCTCGGACTTGCCTCAATCCGCAATGCAGGAGTGGCGGAGGAATCATACCTGCTCGAGTCCTCGATCCCCTGCCAACCGGTGCCTATCGCTTTGATGCACCGTGCGTGCCGCACGAGCTGTGACCGTTAGATGCGAGTGAGACTAGAGGCGTGGAAGGAAATTACCTGATCAGCGAGTAGGTCTACTGCTCTTGCCAGTGCTGCCCTGTCCAATAGGCCATTTTTACCTTGAGACTTGCCATGCCAGCTAGGCGGCAACGGCTATCAAAAAACAAGTTAGGCAGTTACGGTCGTGCGTTTTGGGATTCACACACGAATTTCTGGTTTCCTTCAAATTACTTTGGATTTCTATCAATCAAATCGATTAAATTTCTATAATGGAATCTTAGGAAATCAATTTGAGGGTTGTTGGTCGTTTTTCTCCAACTTGTAGAGTAGGGTTCCAAATTGGGTCAAAATTAAAGAAGATTAAAACACACAATAATTAAGGCATAAGATGCCAGGTAAGTCTTGATTTTGGATGTGTATTTTTTTTCTAAGAAACATAGTACAACACATACACACTCGTCTCTATAAACACGGGCGCACACTCACTCTCTTTTTTTATGATTTTGTCCCAACGACCTACACTAAATACAAGAAAAATTAAGGTAATTTGAGGCAACTGGTCAGGAGCACCACTACACCATGTCGAAAAATATAGTATGTTGTAGTGTATGGTGCGTCTATATCAAATGGGAAGATTTGGCCATACCTTTTTTTTCCGTCCTCCGCCACTGTTAATTGCAGCTCCATTGCCCTTTCATTCTCGCCCTGCGTATATGTACAGCGTGCCCATAGCTTCCCCGTGCCCCCCCCCCCCCCCCCCCCCGCGTCGCCGTCCTCTCTTTCCTCTCTTCCGCTGGCACCGCAGGAAGGCTTGGTTGCGACGGGCGCCACCCATCCTCTCATGCCTCCGGCGGCTAGCTCTGAACTGGGTAACACTTCAGCTCCGGTCGAACACCCATCGTCGGGCGCTCACTGCTCCGTCACAGCCGCCAGCGACCATCGACCATGGCACACGGCCTCGACGTCACGCATATATATCTGCCCGCCGTCACCTGTCTGTGTCTGCTCAGTGCTCACGCTTGCCGTGGACGGAGCAACCACTTGCTGCACCATTCTCCCTACCCATCCACCGTTGCCTATTTCTGTTGTATGTTCTCATTTGCACATTGCATGGTAGGTTATTGGTCAAATGCTTACTCAGATGATCCAATCTATACGTTCTCACACTAATCATCTATAAAAACTTCAGCAGCCAATTCGTGGTGTTAGAATTGTTGAACTGGCGTCTACTACTCTTCATTAAAGCTGCAACAACAATTTCAGCTACCCCTTTTGGCAGTCTTTTGCCGTCTTTCTTGTTAGGCCCCGTTTAGTTCCCAAAAACATCACATTAAATCTTTTACACATGCATAGAACATTAAATGTAGATTAAAACAAAAACTAATTGCACAATTAGAGGGGAAATCGCGAGACGAATCTTTTGAGTCTAATTAGTTCATGATTAGTTATAAGTGCTACATAAACCTACATGTGCTAATGGTAAATTAATTAGGCTCAAAAGATTTGTCTCGCGGTTTCCAGGCGAGTTATGAAATTAGTTTTTCATTCGTGTCTGAAAACCCCTTCCGACATCCGGTCAAACGTTTGATGTGACACCCAAAAATTTTCATTTCGCAAACTAAACAGGCCCTTAGTCACAATATATTATTATTTGATCGTGGATCCCCTCCTATCATTCCTCTCTTTCTTCTGTTGATAAAATTACTGAATGGAAGACTTTTAACAAGCTGACCATATATTTAGTAAAATGTTGCCTACACGTTGCTAATTTGTTTCATTAGTTGCTTCTTATTGTTCTAGCAACTTACGTGTGAAAGCATCGACAAACTAGATCTTTTTTCTTCAGATTTTCAGAAACATCATTGAGCTCCATTTAGTTGTGCCAATAATTATGAATCATCAGCGAAACATTTGATGAATGTATAGTACTGAACTTCCAAGGTAATATCTCCATTCTCCACCTCAGCATAGAACCGTATACTATTTGCTTGCCATGAATGCAGCCGTCGTCTTCACTTCTTTAACCAAAATGTTTGTCATTCAGCATGCACAACTAGGGGTGGAAAAAAAAAGGGAAGTTGAAATAAAGTGGCAATTTTTGGTGAGAAAAATAAAACATGTTCACCATTTCAATTCATTAATCCATGGTTCTCTTCTCCATTTGTAAAGAAGATGCACTGTAGACTCAACAACTGCATTGTTCCAAAGTTCTTCCGGATATAAGCATTGAAAGTCTTTTTCATGGCCATGGTCTCTTACAAGTTAATTTGTTTCTCCAGGTCGAACTTACTAAAAGTAGCTGTGATCATTATTGGAGGATAATTTCTAAACGTCAAGACCTGAATTCTTCATTTTTTTTCTATATATAATGTGTATCAAAATTCCCGCTAATAATTGACATACATAATTGTTTGGTTAAATATTTATTATGACCTAGATACCCAAGTTATGCTCCCCGATATGTACTAGATTTTTTATTTATGTAACTTCAAGTTGCCTGCCGTACTGCTTTGAACCACCATCCAAACTAGGACAAGCTCTTCCAACAGTTTTAATTTAATTCAGGTTGGCAAGTCACTAAATCATTTTTTATGAAATAAACCGTCCAAATTAACTAGGACAAGATCTTCCAACGGTTTTAATTTAATTCAGGTTGGTAAGTCTTTAAATCATTTTTTTATGAAATAAACAATCCAAACTAGGACAATTTCCGAAGGATTTACATGGAGTTTTGGAGCCAAGCCCCAGGTCAAGCCTATGTTGTCCCAATCCTAGGGCCGCCCCCGATAACAACCCACGTATTTATTTGTAGGCCTAAATGGTGAAATGTTCTGCTTCCTACAAAGCATTATAATATATATTGCATTCTATCTTCATTAGGCCTCGTTTGGTTGTCCGTGTATATTATACATGTGTGAATAGTCCTACCTGTGTATTAAGTGAATCCACACCACCCACCCAATACACAGCATGATTCAATACACAGTGTGGGCTGGTGGTTCGACTGGTGATACCCAGGGTTGACTCCACAGCAAGTACGTAGTGCTAGCTAAGCTAGTGGCATGCATGGAGAGTCATGGAGAGTTGGGCACAGAGCTAGGTTTACCTTTTAGGCCTCGTTTGTTAAGAAAAAATTAATATAAAAAATACAAGAAAAACCATTATAATATATATTGCATTCTATCTTCATTAATTGGTTGTAGACGCAACAATTTTAGAGCATATATCACTCTATTGATTTTTACATTAGCATTACAAATGGATGAGGAAGTAATATGGAATTTTGTTTATATTTTTTAACCTTCTAAATTTTTTATTTTAAAACTAAACCATTTCAAAACTTATTTTCAAAATGAACCTTTTGGCCACACCAGTCCGCTTGACGTAACAAAACAACACTGGCAAGACCCCTGCAGCGGGCATGATAGTATTGTTTTGTCACGCTAGTTTGGTTGGCTTGTCAAAAGGCTAAGATCTTGAAAATAAGTTTTGGATAGATTTATTTTTAAAATTAAAAATTTAAAAGGTTCAAAAAAAATTAAATAATCTTAATATGGCTGGTGTTCTTCCTTGATCACACACCTACAACTTTCCCATGACACATCCTATGGCCCACCCACCTCCGTTCAACAAAACAAATAACCGTACATGCATGTACTTTGCAAGCATATTTTGTGTGTTTGAGGCTGCTTATTGTTTAGTTTGTTTGGAACAAGTTTATTGGATCGTGTGCAAATCATCCTGGTAGATTAATAACTCATATTGCGCTTTATTTGCTAATATGTTTGACCACTTATACTATTGCACAAATGTTTTGCTTTTAAAACACTTGTATTTGCCAGCTTACTCTGATTAGATACAATTTTTTTAGCTATGATAAGTTACACCAATGCATTAACTCGAATATTGGTTTACCAGGTCGGCAAGTGTCAGCAGGTGAAAGAAAAAATTTATTTTGTTGGTGTTAAGTTCACTGGAAATATTTTTAACTGAACTTTTATTTGCTTATCAAATCCTATTCACTGAGCAACGAGACTGATAGAAGGCATTCAGTGGGTACGAAATGTCGATCTAGCTCTAAAGTTTCAGAAATCACATCTTACTATATGGAGGGATTGCTTAATGTGTTTTTGGTCACTCACTATTCATTAAGTTCTTATCGTGTTACAGAAGATTGGATGTACATATGGCAGAAATATAATGTTGTCATGTCTTCCTACTTATCCTTGGATGATAATTCACAAATCTGCATCAAATTCTTAAGCATGCAGTTCAAGCGATGATGGTGGCCACAACTGGAGATTCCGGTGGTAGTTAATAATGTAAGAATCATAGTTGTTTACTGACAATTCCTATAATGCAATACATCATCAAATTATTTAGATAGAAAAGCATTTTTTTGTCTAAACAATGATTATTGCCGTTTATCTCTCTAGGTTCAGGCCTTGAGGATCATGTTCAGGACTCTGCTGCCTTCAATTTGTTCCATCGATAATTGAGCGCTTTAATTTGTGCACTGTTGAACTATATACGAGAGAATTTTCAACCGTCCAATTCTAACATTGCAGAGAAGTCTAAAATGTCAGTAGTATGCTTGTAATTTTGTTGTTATACTTGGTTTGCTTTATTGACATTTCAAGTTTAAATATTATTCTCTGTAATTTTGTAGATTCTATAAATTGTAAATTTTATTTCATGTATTTTTAGTATGTTTAAATATGTTGTTCAACCTTTTAGAAAAGAAAAGACAATGAGGATTATTGGATTGCAATCAAATGGAATGTGCAAAGTAAATATATTATTGGAAGGATTAGATGTTTTAATACGATTATATATGAAAAACGTGCATTGTACGTGCGTGAGTACTAGCAATGGAATAGGTAAGGGTAGTAATATATACATGCTGACACTACGGTATTATTTCGATGCAAATCAAATTACCATAAGATAATATATGTTTTATTAAACGAGATTGATTTAAAACATCAAAAAAAACAGTAACAGTGAGAAAAGTTATTTTGTTGTTAGTATCTCCGGTTATAAATATTTGACTTTTGCTCTCATATAAAAGAAAACCATACTTACTTGACCTGCTTGATAACATGAACCATTTGATTGTTTTTTCAAGTTCCAATGAATTCAAGCAATATTATAATTTTTGGATTTCTATCCACTGGGATCCCGTCGGGAGTCGGGACGGGACGGGATCCCCGCATTCCCACATGGTCAGCAAATGACTTTTCACACGGAAGCACGAAGAAGGCGTCGTACGCCTTGTTGGCCTCACGCGCTCCCAGTCCATTGCTGCCAGGAGCTAGACCATCGTGGTCGCGAGCCCGCAACCCCCATCTACCGCCAGCAGCCGAATCGAGAGGAGTGTCTCCATTGGTGCCCAGCGAACTCCTCCATGACCTCCACCTTCCGACGGTTGCCCCTATTCCTCCTTGTGCTTGCTGCTCCTTGTCCTTGTTATCTGCAATTGCAGGGAGGGACAATGTAGGGGAGCATCCTGCTGCTCCCCCTCTTGTCTAGGATTGCGGTAAGAGAAGATGGGAGATTGTGGAGAGGGAAGATGGGGAGCGCCGCCATCGCCCTGGGGGAGGACAAGGAGCAGCGTCGTCTTCGCCACAGCAATGCTGGTAACCATCTCCATCCCTTCTTCTCTTCCCCCTCTCGGCTCAGATTTGATACTCGATTGGTGCCATGTCTAATAGCGGTAGGTATAGGCCTAATACCGATATGTATCAACTGGCACCGACTGGGGTATTAGCTAGTACCGATGAGGTATTAGTTAATACCTGACGAGTATCGAGTGATACATATGAGGTATAAAATCTAATACCAACATGTACAGGAATCTGATACCTGCTTGGTATCATCCTGTCTGGACGGGATCACGCTGTATAGCAGTCTCCTATTATTTTTGATAAAATTTGACCATTTTCTACCGTAAGTCAATGGTTTCAAAATGGTTTTAGCGAAAACCAGAAAAAACTGGTTTTTGGATCGTTAAGGATTTCCCCCAAATAGTCCGATTTTTCCTCCACGCCGATAAGGAGCGATTCCTGCTTCATTCAGGCGAGTTGCAGCCTGCAATCCGAACTGAGGACGGGTTTTTGGAGTTAGCTCACCCTCGCGAGATCGCGACAGCAGAGTGCTTTCGCCGTTGGTGTTCTTTCCGATCTCAATGCATTTCACCGGTCCAAAAATTCTTATCTTTAGACCATTCTGAGCCATTTACGAACATTACGGCAAATATGATCAAGACATTTATAGCTCCCACATAAATAAGAAGTTGTGCCACAGCTATAAAGTAGGAATTCAATAAAATATAGAATAAGGATATTATTAGAATTTTTTTGTTAGAATCCAAAAGTTCTTTACTAACTAGAAAGAAAAACGAATACCTAGTGCACTACCAACCCAAAAATCCCAACTCTGCCTTACGTAAAGTTGCCAGAGTACGATTAACCTCTGGATCGTACCATTCGAGCCTTTTTTTTCATGCTTTTCCCGGCGGTGACCTCCTCCAGACCAGAGAGGAGAGCAATCAAAAAAGAAATATTACTCAATCAAAGATCCAACTGATCCCCATGTCTGTATTGCAAATACGCATGGTTTCGATGTGCAAAAGCAAACCATTTCTATTGGAAACATTCCTATAATGATCGTCGAGAGGAAAACAGCCCGGATCACCAGCTAAGGCCCCTAAATGACCGCTTAGTGATAAAGGAGGTGGGGGAACAATTTTTTCTCAGTTGCAATATAGAACTAATTTTTTTGTTAATTTAGGATAAGATAGGTAGAAGTTGTAAGTCTTATTGCAGGAATACTGTACTTTTCATAATAGAATCCCCTTTTTTTATTTATTATACGGATATACGTTCCTTTTAGTTTCGACTTTAGGGATAATATTTTTCGCTATCTTCTTCCGAGAACCACCTAAGGTTCTGACTAAAAAAGTGAAATAATTTAATTGAAGTAAGAAGTCTCCCCATCTGAGAGACTTCTTACTTCAATTAGTCCCCGTCTGCTTTGCATTTTAAAGAAAAAGTACAAAAACATATTTATTCCATTTAGCTATTGCTATTCTTTTCCTGATCGCAGGTCATATGTATAGGACCCGCCAGCGTTCATCCTGAGCCAGGATTGAACTCCCCAAACCAAAGAAAAAGAGAATGGAAGAATTCTTCCCTTCAATTCATAGTTTTCGAAATCTTTTTAAAAGTGGATTAATTGGACGAGGATAAAGAGAGAGTCCCATTCTACATGTCAATACTGACAACAATGAAATTTCTAGCAAAAGGAAAATAGGAAATCGATCAAACGATCCCAATACCGTGAAAGAGAAACTGCACGCTCTACCACTGAGCTAATAGCCCGTCGTGCGGGCCTCCCAAAGGGAGGCCTGCTACGCCAAAAGCGAGAAAAACCCCACCCCTTTCCTTTTGACATCCTCATGCCGCCGGAAGGTTAAGGAAGTTGGTGAACTGATGACAGGGAAGCCGGTGACCGAAGCCCTGGTGGGGAGGTCATAAGCGCCTATACCGTAAAATCGATTTTCGACGGAATCAAAAAGACATATCTGGTAGAATCATAACCATAGAATCCAAATAGCCTCCGGGTTTTTTCAGATTTGGCAAGCATCCGGAATAACTATTCACTCATGGGATCCGGGCGGTCCGGGGGGGCAAAGGAACCGGACATGAGAATTTTTCATCATCCGGCTCGAGCAAGAATGAAAGAAATAAAGTTTTGTAAAAGCAACATGAAGAATTGCTCAGATGCCCGTGAGCGAGGCTTACTTGGGTCGTGTCGGCTCCGAAAACTTGCAGTTCTCCCCGTCAATCCTCGCCATGAGTGGAACTCCGACCATAACATAATTGACAGATCCAAGATGTGCTCCGGTGGCGTATTTTTTTAAAACGAGGTCCTCGATAACGGGACATGAAGACGATCTATTACATTCTAATTAATTCCAATTATACAAAAGGTTCAGATAGACTAAGCAAAAAAGGGCTTCATTTCGTTGGAAAATCACATATTCATTTCCTTCGTATGAACAGAAAAATATGATGACTTAAAGAAGTTCACTACCACGAACCAATTTGTTCTTAATTTTGTAGCTTGTGACTAGAAATCCACTGCTATATCCGATTATAAGTATTTCACATCATCCTGCAATGCAGCAGATTGAAAAAATATTTAACTTGGAAACGTTCGAGGTGGAGTATTTGTTTACAGTTAGGACAACATTACGAAGACATGTAGCAGTGATAATTAAAAAAACAGGATTGCTATATGGCATTCGAATAAAATTTGGGGATGAAATCTTACAAATTTTGGACCATTGGATCCATGCCAAGATTCGTGCATCGGCATCTCTCCTCCAACTCCGGCGGGCTCCCCTTCTTCTCCGGTACCGGTGACACCCCAACTCCGGCGGGTTAGGGTTTGGGGTTGGGGTGAGGGTAGGAGGGGGGTTGGGGGAGGGGGAAGAGGGAGGGGGTTTCCTCGGGGCTTAGAGGGATGGCCGTGGGCGGCGGAGGACTGGCGGTGGGCGGTGGACTCCGGCGGGCGGCGAGGCGGCGGCAGCGCCGCCGAAGCTGCGGGGATGGAGGAGGGCGGTGGGCCGGCGTTGGCGGTGGGGGCAAAGCAAGTGTGGGATTAGGAGGCGGCGGCCGGTGGTGGCGGATCCAGCGGCGGGGAGCCGCCGGAGACGGGGAAGACGGCGGGGCGGGGGCACCTCGTCGTCGCCGCCATGAGAAAGTGAAGGGGAAGGGGGGAGGGGGCTTGCCGGCGCCGTTGACCTTTTCCGGCCAGCCGCGAGGCGAGCGGCGGCACGGTGGGGCGGTGGCGGTGGTAGCGGCGACGGATCGTGCGTGGGACAGGAGGAGGAGGGTGGCGGCGTGATCTGGAACCGAGGGGAGGAGGAGTTAGGGTTAAGGGGCTGCACGAATCTTAAAGTACATCCAATGGTCCAAAATTCGAATGATAGGAGTTGGGATTTTCTGTCACATAATATATAGACAGCCTCTTAAAAAAAAGGACAGAACAGAAAATAAAGTATGATTGTGGCAAGGAATGCAACACAATGCAGTTGTTAACAGATCTAGACATCTCAAACAATATGTCCTTGCTAAATTGTGAGGGAGAGGTAACTGGAACCTGAAAAGATGTGAACTTGAGTTACATGCTATATAGTGAGGGAGTCTACTACGTTGTGAACCTCGTCTATTGCTGTTCCCTAGATTCTGTCCAAGTTATTCTCTAGTAGACTTTCAGCAATAAAGACTGATTAGTACAAGTTAAGTGGTTCATCTTCCCTGCTTGCTCCAAATCCTCAATGGTCAATCTTCTTCCCTACTGTAGCCTGCCTGTTCATCTGAGAAATAAAACTGCAGAAAAGTCACGTAAGAAATGAAACTGCAGAAAAGGCTATCTGTGACTTATAAACAATACAGATGATGACCAAGCAGTGATGGCCGTCCAACATATTGTCAGGTAATAAGAGAACAAAATAAAAAAATGCTACTCCATGGAAATATGCAATCCATCCTACTAACTGCTGGCTCATTGCTTTTATTTTCCGTCTAGTCAAAAACTAATTGCCTGTTAGCCTTTTGAACTGCGGTTCAACCGCCGGGTTCAAGGTTCAACCGGTAAACCAAGGAGTCAACCAGGTCATCCACTGATCTGGTTTTTCATACTATGGCTGACGATGATGGGGGACGGGTGGGGCCACCTTCTACTCGTTGTGGGACTTCTTCGGGGAGGATACGACAACAATGGGCATTGCGTCCCAGGACAACATGCGGTGCCTGCTAAAGCAGTCGAACTAACCAACGGTCATAGGAGGTAGTATTTTTATTACTAGCCCCGTTTCAGTTTATAAGACGTTATAATTTTAGTTAAACTTAGTCAAATTTAAAATATATTGACTTTAACTTAACCAAAGTCAAAACGTCTTATAACCTTAAACGGACGGAGTACAAGTTATAGAATTTAAATTTAAATTATATGTTTGTGAAATGATATATTAATTTGAATCTATCTTGTTTTTTTATTTTTTTATAACTATTTAGTTGATGTCACCAGTGGAAGAGATCAGACCAGCCGCTTTGAGCTACCATTTTCAGACGGCAAGAAATCGATAATCTGACTTAAAATCCCAAAGAGAATTCCAAACAAAGGGGATCAGATATTCAGATGTTCAAGTATACTAGCCTAGTTGCGTATAGCTAAGCAGACCAGATAAGCTTCGGGAATCCTTGCGTCGGGCACACATGCATGCCCAATTTAAAAGAAAAAATAGTTTAAAGTGGTTTGCACGCATGCGTCACGTCAGCGCCCGATTTTTCCACTCCTCCATCAGGCGCCCGATCCTGAGTTGCGTCCGATAAGCTTCATCTCACTGAAAATTTCAGGTGGCGCGTAAAAAGGGGTTGATGAAGGGATGAAGTTTCTTTTTCTTTACTATGATATCCTTGCCTTGACTACGCCAGCTTGTTACGATATGCATGTGCCTGATGGCTTCCTATCTTCTTTCATATAGAGATATGAACAGATTACTGAACATCAAGCAGTACAGGGCAACAAAGCTACAGCCAGCAAACACTCAAGCAATAAGAATAACATAAATAATAAAACCAACACATAAGGAGTAAACAATTATTAAAGTTTATTTGTGAATCTTTATTCGTAGTAGACAAAAATCTGCCAGACATTCATATATAGGAAAGAAAGGACAGGTGGCCAAGACCACATCATGCTCAGATCTGCACGAGCCATGGAATGTTACCTCATCACTGCTTCTCAGCCATGACCTTGACCAGCTCTTCAGCATCATCAATCGCCTTCGAACACCTGTGTGCTAACAGGGAGGACTTCCCAACCTGGTAGGCCACTCCTGATGCCTTCACCTGTTCTTCTATCTTGCCAAAGGAGGCCACCTCTTGGTGTGCATACACCACACTGGGTACAGTTCATAATCTAAGTGACCTTTTCCTGCGATGAATTCAACACAGGCAATGGATCTTCTTCAGCTTTATGTGCAAGCATGGGTCCGGGTATAGCATCCCCAGTTGTGTGGACACGCTTAACATTTGTCATCAACAACGTCCAGAATACTCTGCTCTCCACCAGCTGCAGGCTCCACAGTTAACTTGACACAACTACCAGAGGCGTCAACCCCAACTAC